ACAACAGATGCTTTGCCCCATGGCAATATGCAGACCATGCCATGGTTTACGGACCTGCCGGCGAACCAACGGTACCCAGTGCAGACATGAAGGAGCAGTTTCACCAATTACCAGCACAGTTCACCAAAGCAACGGGCGTGTCTGAACGTTCTCGACACAGAATGTTGGCCAATGGGTGGCATTTTGGTACCACCAAATTCATGTTCATGCTGGTACTGCAGGCAGTGTTGTCGCTTCCAACGGCATCACCAACTCCAATGCCCCGGACATCTCCTCTGCAACTGATGATCCAGACCTTACACAGGTTTGAACCCAGCATTGGTCCGGGTACATGGACACCACATCCTTCATGCATACCACCGGCTACAAGCATGTGGCACCATTGGGGGTTGGCACAACGAGCCCAACACCATCTCCAACAAGAACCTCACTTGGAACCAGGCCTGCGCCAGTGTCTGGACATACACCAGTTGTTCGGCCCCAATTTGGCCAGGCTCAGGTCAGAGATATTGGATGAGCTCGAAGAGATGGTCCTCTCACGGGCAGAAGCAACAATGGCATGGTGGCAGGAGCTGCCCCCACACGTGGCACAGGTCTACTATGACAAAGAACACAGCCAGATCTCACAGATCCCAGTGTTCCTCGACCTCCTACACCTTGCTGGCATGCCTGACTTAGACACCCTGGCAACCGACTTACAGCAGGGCTTCAACATGGTGGGTGAGATTCATGATGGTGCAGGATGGCTCCCAAGGGCCGATCAACGATATGACTTCCCAATTTCCATGGAAACTTTCAGGGAGCACAACAAGAACTACACCATCAAGAAACTCCAATCAGGCCGTGTTGATGACGCGTGGCAAGTGATGCTCACAGAGCTCTTGCAAGAGCTTGACAAGGGCCGCATGGACGGACCATTCATCGCTCCGGAGTGGTGGCCAGTACAAGCCATCTCACTACCAGGGCGTGCTGCATAACAACTCCCTGATGGAGCGACGTGTTTTTCATTTTGCTTCAGCGTCAAACAATCCGACAAGACACGACGATGCGAAGATTTTAGAAGGTCTGGTCACAACATGACCATCAAGACCGGAGACACTCCTCATCATCATGACGTGCAGACCTTTGCTGCACTTGCCAGGGCATACCCTGACCACTCTGAGCTGCCACATGTATGGGCACAAGATCTGAACGGAGCCTACCGCCAATTCCCAGTCAGAGACCCATGCGAATGTCTGTGCGTTTTACAGACACCTGCAGGACCGCTGATTTTGCGCCATTTTGCCTTGTCCTTCGGCGCAACGGCATCAGTATGGTCTTTCAATCGCAGCGCCGATGCCATGACGTTTCTGGCACGGAGATTGCTGGGGATTGCCATTGGTCATTACGTTGATGACTTCATAGCCATTGAACCGCACAACCTGGCGATCAGCAGCTTCGCCCAGTTCACGCGGCTATCCAGGCTACTAGGACTCCGCATGAAGGAATCCAAAGCCTTGGAACCCAGTCCCAAGCAGAAGGTATTGGGAGTTCTCATGGAAGTACAAGAGGACGAGATTGTCCTCAGACCACACCCAACCAGGTGTGCCAAGGTTATCATCCTCATCAACAATGCCCTGAAGCACAACCGGCTCACCAATGACGAGGCCCAACGCCTTGCCGGAAAGTTGGTGTTCCTGACCTCTACGCTTTTCGGCCAATTGGGCCGGGCAGCTTTGGCCCCAGTTTACGCTCGAGCACATGGCCTGTCTGAATGTGACAAAGCATGCCAGCTCAACAATGCGCTCCGGGCGGCTCTGGTGGCGATACGTACCATGCTCACCGAGATCCAGCCCAAAAGAATCCCTAGAAGAGTGACACAGAAACCAGTCATCATTTACACAGATGCTTACTTCACTCTGAATGGCGAACAGTTCTCAACGGGTTCAGACAGGCTTCCAACACAGTGGAACAAGTCCAAATGCTGTCAGTATGAGAACGGATGGGGCTACGTAGTCCATCACAATGATCGGACACGATTTGGTGCTGGACGCGTCCCGGCCAAAGTCATACGCAGATTTTGCACCAGAAAAGCCTACATCTACTTCCTTGAGATCCTGGCCCAACTAGTGTGCCTCTTGACACTACGGCCACATCACGATATGATGCTGATCTCCTTCATTGACAATCAACCTGAACGCTACGCTCTGCTCAAAGGATACTGCAAAGATCCCAGAATATGCCAGATAGTCTCCCTGACATGGAGGCTCATCTCACAGATGGGATGGCACCTTCAGCTCGAATGGGTATGCTCAGAACACAACATCAGCGACAAGGTCTCCAGACATGACTTCAGCGAGATGCAAAGCATTGCAGCACACCAAGATGACCTTGAGTTCTCAGAGCTCTTCACCATCCTCCTGCGTGCCGCAGATGATGACGAGTACGCCAATGGCTCTGCTCTGAATGACCTGCTACAATTGAAGCTACATGCAGCTACCTCCTCATCACTGGCAGTTTGGGGAATAGCTGGTGCCAGTGCGGTGAAATAGTGCACCAGCTGCAGGCACAGTTGGATTCAACAGTGGGTCGTCAACCAAACCACAGGCAGATGGAAAAATGAGAGGCAGCTTGCTGTAGCAGCATGGATTGTAGCAGAACATGTTGTGTAGCACTGCAGTGCGTTGTAACATGTGCAGCAAAAAGGAATGCTGCAGGGTATTCAGGCTCAATCCAGCCTGAAAAACCCGCCCAACACCCACACCTTTTTGAAATTTTGCCTTACGAGTACCTCGTTGTTTCCATACCGCAGCGGGTGAAATAGTGCACCAGCTGCAGGCACAGTTGGATTCAACAGTGGGTCGTCAACCAAACCACAGGCAGATGGAAAAATGAGAGGCAGCTTGCTGTAGCAGCATGGATTGTAGCAGAACATGTTACTGCTTTTGTAAATCTCATGGCAAATCCTCCGAACATCCACCCAAATTTCAGACGAGCTCCTGAAAATGAATAGGAATGTCACGGCTACAAGCATCCAACTTGCACAGATGAGATCAGATAGTGGAGAGTTCTCTTTAATTTTTCAGATTGAACGTCCGCATGAAAGTAACTAATTGTCATTCCGTCTGTTGGGCAATACCTTTGTTTGTCTCCAATGAAGTTCCGGATTGGTTTCTCTGAAATTGATGATCTATCTTCTGCAAACTTCTGCGCAGCTCAGTGATGCTGGTTATGTACTTTCTCACCGCTTCCGCCCAGGTTGGTGGTTCTCATTGCCTTGTTGCTGTGGAGCTTCATTGCTCTTCCAGCCCTTGACCGGCTTGGGTCAATTGTCAACTGGGGCGGCAATCCTGCTGGGGTCTAGACCTTAAAGCTCTGCGAAGTTGTGAGGATGTCAGCAGCTTCAAACTCCTTTTTCAGAGTACGGTCTCACAGCCGTTCCAAATGATATGAAGATATTACATTTGGAACGATCATATATCATATGGAGTGGATTCATATGGTGTCATTTCGTACTAGAATCAGTTTTTGACATGAGCACCGTTTTTGAATATATCTTGCTAGGCCAGCTATGGCTACTTTTTTATGTGGTTCAGCTTCATCTTTCAATGTGCAGCAACCTTCTTGCACTGGTGGATGCCTTTGAGCAATGAAATGACGGAGGAGCTCTGCTGCCTCTGCTGCCTCTGCTGCCTCTGCCCGAAAGATCCCAGGTTTGCTGTGTCAAACGGTCACTGTTTCTAGGAGGATCGCTTGCAGCAGCAGATGCAGAAGGAGTACCAGCAGTATGGAGCTGCTCAGGCATGGGGTCAGATGCATAGACTCATGGACGCAGCATCATTACCAGGCTCATCACGTGTGGAAAGATTGATCTCTATGTAACAATATTAACATGCTTAAACATGTTCAAGGTACGGAGCAAGTATTGAAGATATTGTGGATTTGCAACTCGGTGCCACAGGCATCACAAGCACCTGGTGCCTATGCCCCTGGATACTACGAGTCCCCTCAAACAGCCGGATACGGCGCGCCTTATGGTGCTCCTGCCCCTGGCTATGGTGCTCCTGCCCCTGGCTATGGTGGCCCATCTGCTCCACCATATGGTGCCCAGGGCATGCCGGCGCACCGGGGCCAAGCGTAAGGCAGGTGGCCGGTAGATGAAGGGTTGCTAAGGATTGAAACATCTTGAAAATCTGGAAAACAGCAGAAACAAGTGGAGTCGAGAGAGTCCACAAGAGTCTTAGATTCTTAGATATTGATAGATATTGGTCAAGAGGTGAGAACCTGAGAGCCCGTTCTTGATTCTGTTTTTTTTTTTCTGCCTGAAAAGCTGGCGCAGGCTTCCTGTGTTCAGATGTGCCTGCCAACTGAGGGGGTTAATGCTGCCAAGCGCATGAGACTTCAACTGCTTGTGTGCAATCGGTTCCTTGAAAAGCAAGCATGCAGCAACCAGGAAGGAAAACAGGAGTGTTGGCTCGGGAGCCTGGGTGGCATCTCCTCTTGCTCATCCTGCACACTGCTACAGTTGAGTTTCGTTCCCAAGTTTTTTCATTGCCACCAGTTGGGCGCTCAACGTGTGACTTCAGAAACTCTGCAACTATCTCAGCAGTGCTTATCATGGCTCTTTACAGCTTGGTCCCTGCGCAAGCCCGGCCCTATACAATAGATTGAGATCACCCCACCATTTTATGAAAGAAGTGGTTTGCCCTACAGCATCAAAAAATGAGGTAGCACCTCCAAAGCATCCTAAATGTGAAAGCACCCTAAAGCATCCGAAAGCTTCCGAAAAGCATCCTAAGGCTTCAAGCCACCTCCCACATGGTCATGGAATGCGGTGCTCAAAACCATCGGTTTTGATACGACCAAACAAGGAACAGAAGCAAAGTTGTGCCAAATGTCGAGAATAGACAGAAAGGATCCAACGAGTGCTTGACATTCGTTGATATCAAGGGTGAACTGCGCTCAAAGATCGAAACATATCGAAAAAATGATTTGAAACCAACCCTTCAGTGGTGTTCACATTCCACCCCAATTGCCTGTTTGAAGCTGTGCGATGGAAACTTCTCTCAAATGTCGACGCGTCGACCTGTCCACTGCTCGCAGCGTAGAGGGAGATGCCGAATGGAAGATGTACAATGCTGGCCGAATGCGAGCGCATTTCTTGGCGAAGCTTGGTACAGCTTTTGAGGTGATCTATGGTGACCTCCAAAAAGGAAACCAAACTGTTACTGTAACCTTTTGATGTTCCTCTTTTTGGAGGTGACGTCATTAAAACAAGGCTTATTTGAGCCACAAGTTCACAAATTGGAATCAATCTAGACTGTATGTCAAAGTTTGGTATGATGGTTCGCCTTTGTCGCAAACAGCTTCCAGTCGGGAACAAACTGATAACGGAGAGCGGTTGGCATTCATAGTCCATAGTTCACATAACATGACAACTGTGGTGATGTCAGAGGAATAGCGAGAATAAAAGATATCTCCTGAAATTTTGAGATGATATGGTAATAATATATCAGAATACAATATATCATTTGATATCATGAAACTATGATAGCTATGCTCCAAGAGTCCAAGAGTATTGTCAGGCGCTCACGTGCTGGCCAATGCGAATGCCAGCACTTTCAGCTTCCAGGCTTCCCAGAGGTCGACTTCACGTGCCCTGGCAGATGAGTCTACCAGATGATGCTGGCTTCTGGTTTATCATCTGTTTTTTAAATCATGTTTTCATCATGTTTTTTATATGTTTTTATCATGTCTTTGAGTTTTTATCATGTTTTTTTATCAACCACGTTTAGACTTTTTCCATGTTTATTCAGATTTATTCAAGTCTCAGTTTGTCCTGGACGCTATTCATATCGGTTTTCAACGGTTTTCATGTGATACCTTCTTCTACCTCCTGTCCACCATTAACCAATCTCAAAATTGTTTAAGCATATAAGTTGCTTGTTTCTTTTTCCACCCTGGTGATTTGATGGCGCCACGGTACCCTGTTTTTGGAAGTGGAATCGGTCAATGAAGTGGGTTGCCGGCAGGGTTCTTAGTACAAACAGTTCAAACCAAGAAGCAATTTTTACATTTTGTTTGGTTTTTAGTTTTCTTTAGCTTTCTATAGGTTTCTATGCTTTTTTTGTAGTAAGGCTCTGGTTGGCGGCTTGAACACAGAAGGCATCAAATGAAACCTAGAGAGAGAGAGACAGTGTGTGATCATCTTATGATGTTACATGCATTCAATGGCTCATAGATTTTCATATGTCATAGTGTAATGAGTGTAATGATGTTTTTTCTCCACCTTTGGCAGGTTGGTCATGTTTCGGATCAGATTTTGAGGTTCATGCTCTACCCCACCGGTTTCGCTTCGATGGGAACAGCTGCAGCTCCTGCCGTGCTGGCGCTGCACGTCAGTGGCTGTGGCTGTGAAGGCGTCGGCTTTGAGGTGCACTTGACGCTGCAGCTCTATGGTCCCGGTGGAGCCGTTCCTCTGATGGAGGCGGTCGAGGAGAAAGCATTGGCAGGCGAATGGCCGCTGAAGATCGCAGGATAGATGGTGATCCAATATGATCCATGGAACATGGATGGAACATGGACAGTGGATGGAAAATGATGGAGGTTGAGATGTGGATGCCTCAGCACCTGTGTGTGCTGTGGCTTCGGCGGCTGTTTTGAAAGATCGGTGGCGTCAGTAAAGACTAGTCTCATGTCATGTACAGTGTAACAACTCACAACTGGTATGTCACTTCAACTCAGGATCAAACATATCTCACTCCAATGTTGCTTTCTGTCACTAGTGCTGTTGGAATGTCATGTTGAAATCATCATCATGTGCATATATCTATATATATATATCTATATATCTATATATCTATCCATCTATCCATCTATCCATCTATCCATCTATCTATCCATCTATCCATCTATCCATATATCCATCTATCCATCTATCCATCTATCCATCTATCCATCTATCCATCTATCCATCTATCCATCTATCCATCTATCCATCTATCCATCCATCCATCCATATCCATCCATATCCATCCATATCTATCTATATCTATCTATATCTATCTATATCTATCTATATCTATCTATATCTATCTATATCTATCTATATCTATCTATATCTATCTATATCTATCTATATCTATCTGTATCTATCTATATCTATCTATATCGATCTATATCTATCTATATCTATCTATATCTATCTATATCTATCTATATCTATCTATATCTATCTATATCTATCTATATCTATCTATATCGATCTATATCTATCTATATCTATCTATATCTATCTATATCTATCTATATCTATCTATATCGATCTATATCTCTATCTCTATCTATCTATCTATCTATCTATCATGTATAGTTGTGCCACAATGTGGTATGCGCAGGCACGGGACGCATTTCGTGCCAAATCCTTTGGCCTGAAGAGGGTGTGGACCTGTGCCTCTGCAGCTGCCACGTTTTAGCAGCACCGCCGCCTCGTGGCCAGACTTGAAGCTGGTCATGGGACACACTGAAGCTGATGATTACAGTATTTGAGACGGTCACTAGTAATTCATAAGAATTCATAAGGACTCAGATGCCATAAGAAGGTGTGGCACTTGGGATTTTTGCTGATAATTGTGGACCTGTGGCGACCTATGGCACTTGGGTCACTGGACATAGGCACGAAGCCACCGGATTCCCAATAGAATGTTACGTATATGTTGCATGGTGAGGAAAAAGTGTTGGCCACGATATGTTCTTGGAGAACATGTTGATGTGAGATTTCATATAGGTTACATGAGGTGTGGTGATGATGATGATGATGAGGAGGATGAGGAGGAGGAGGGTGCCAACTCTGATGACGTCAACAGTTGAAACATATGAGTAACCGAAAAAATTATTGTAATACTAATTTAGTTTTGCTTCGCCTTGGGCCTTGCTGAGGGGTGTGCACAACCTTCAATAGCCTATAGGGGACAACCCTATGTCGATACCCCTGTTTCGCATGAGTCGCCTCAAAGTCTGAGAATGAAACATATTCCTCACTACCGATACAGGACGATCCTAATTTGTGCATGGTATGAAAGTGAACAAGTATTCTTGTGTGCTATTCATATGTCCAATGGACTTGCGGATCGTTGCAGCACTGGTTGATGGACTGCCTTCTGTTCTATCCTTTTTCAAGGTGGTGATCCAGTCTTGCGCCTATCGCGCGTTTGGGAGCCATGTGACGAGGTGGGAGGTTCCTGTAGCATTTGTAGCCTTGGTCGCCACTTGTTCAATGCTGATCAGCTGCTGATCCATCCAGTGGACTCTTCTCCATTTCCGGGTTAGCTGCCATGGAGGTGGGTCGTGACGACATCGAAAGGCTTGATGGAGATGATTCGGACTAGCCGAGCCAGAGACTCGGTGGGACCCTAGTGGGAAGTTAGGAGATGACCCTTACAGACACGTATAAAAATGTATAAAATAGTATGACATGTAGAAACGTGTGCTCGTCCTGTGGCAATGATGGAGCAACTACAATCGTGTTGACTGTCTGGCGATGTCTGGCATGACCTGACCTAAGTAAAAGTCAAACGTGGTCATAGGAAGCTGCACCCAAATCCAATTCGTTGACTCCCCATTGACGTTCCTTCCCAAAGCTTAGGAGCTCTCGAGACTTGCCCACTTCAGTGGAGAAAAAGAAAGATTGCCGCGCGCACGTCCGTGACCTTGAGTGTATTTTCTAAACCTTTGCCCTGCGAAGCTAGCTAGAGAGAAACAAAGAGACATAGTGTACTCGTAGCTATTCTAAGGTTGATAGAGGCATCTAGAGGCCAAGAACAAAATCTATAGCTGAATTTTTGTCATACCAGAGGATTCAACCCGCGGTGGCCAGGCTGATCCCTGATCAGGCGGGTGGTAGCATTGTACAAGAAGGTCCTGTGAAGCATTCCTCAGATCAGTCAAGAAGATGAGGTTCTATTTGGGTTTGTCTGAAAATAGGGTATATTCCCAATTATAGCCATTTAATAGGGATAATGATCATTAACCATTGGGTTTAGGGGTACACTATTTTCAGACACACCCATTTGTGGTGAAGAGATGGTGCTGATTCACAGTGCCAAGTTGGCTGAATCCAAGAGATCGTTGGAATGCATCCGGGGCCCAAAGTCAGGGAAAAAGGCCAGTGAAAGGCCGTTCTTTGGCTTTATACATATGTATTTGGTATATGTACAGCTGAGATTATATACTTTTTCAATTCAGCAATTGTCAATCGGATGGGTGTCAAGTTACATTCATTGACTGGCTGAGTCACTATTGAGTATTTATCTCTGTTGCTCGGGTTTGAAAGGATTTGACAGTTGCTTCTGTCTGACATGCCGTGGACCCCTCGGTGACTCGCGTGACTCTTATCATGGGCACATTCCGAGCGCAAACTGCATGCCATGATCATCCCAAATTCGCTTGGAGTTGAGAAAGGAGTCATAGGTGATCTATGGCCTGCTTCTGAACTTCAAACTGTCCCCATGTCGTTTCCATTTTTTTCCCCTCAGTTACTGTAGCGTTTGTACGAGTTTGTGTTATTCCAATACACAGTGCAAACCGTGCAAAATTGATCTCAAACTCAGCTATATCAATGGCCTATGACTCCCTTTTCTTTGGCCTCCCTCTTCCGCATTTTTTCCGGTTGCGGCGGCGGCCCAAAACCACTGGGCCAGCGAGCGCATGGAGCGGGAGACTCTGCCGCTGAATCTTGTGTGGCACCTGGGACTTCCATGGGACCTGCAAAGCCACGGCGGTTTCCAACTCGAAACAATTGAAACTTCGAGAAGCGAGAGAAAAGTAGGACACTGCCCGGGCGGTTGCCTTTGTTCATGTCTTTAGCCTTTGAGGCGCACATGATTACATGCGTCTTCAGTGCATTCGTCTTTTGATGGCTTCTTGCGATATGTAACTTAGCCTCGTAGCACCTGTTGCCCTTTCCGTGGCATGCTTTGCTCAAGCAACTGATTTTTTTGTTGGCAAAACTTGGGAGCTGTAACATCCCATGGCGTTGATGCAATGCCTTGGCACCAGTATAATTGGTGCTAAGCCAAATGGCATGATGGTGAGCTTTGCCAGAGGCGCAGTCTGGGGGCGGGTTGCGTCCACCATCATTTATGCAGAGAAAAACAATTAATAATGGTACGTATAGAAAATCACGTGGATACCCAGCTGTTACCGAATCATATCCATATCACTGCAGGCACAATGATTGGTCATTTTATGTCATTTTCTACCATCACAAAGCCAGAATCAATTGCGGCTCAGCCAGCAGGTGCACCAGCTTCAAGCTCCTGTCACTCTGGTCAAAAAGTTCCTCACCCACAACTGCAATGGAAGGCACCAACAGTTCTTGTGCTGGATTGCAGCGGGGGGGTGTAGAGAGGAACCCGAGCAGAGAGTGCATGGTTCCTGGGGTCGGTTGGTTTTAACGTTTTCTGAATATTTTTGAGCAGTTGGATGCTTTGCACACAGCCTACCCAGATGTTCGACGCTGGCATTGTGAGTGTGAGGCGTGGTGTGGGGCAGCGGCGGGCACTGCATGGCTATGTGGGCGCGAGCGACGCGCTTTTGCGAGCCATTCCCGTCCCTTTGCTGGTGCCAGAGCGCATACAAGGCAGTGGTGCCGTTGGATGATGTTGGATGGACAGGGGAAACGAGGTTGGTTTTTGATGTTTTTGAGATTTTTTGAGTCTGTAAATTCTGTAAATAATTTTGCATTGAACATTTGCCAGCGAACCATGGAGGCTCCGAGCAGTTGAAGGCACCAAACCAGAAGTGGCCTTTGTCATTGGCGGTCCGGGAAGTGGAAAAGGCACACGGGAGCCTTGGGGGTGTCCAGCATTGGAAACTGAGTTTGCTGTGTCATGCACCCTCGGAGCGGTGCAGGCACCCAATGCGTGCCCTGGAGGCACAAGTGTCAGAGTTGTGCTTCATGCCTTTCTTGATCCTTTTTTGATCTAGTTTGGGCACTTCTGTATCAGGATGCATCAGCATTGCAAGAATTGCTAAGGAGCTGGCGGCAAAGGAATTGGGTTTCCTTCATTTGAGTGCCGGCGAACTCTTGCGCCAGGAGTGCCGGTCTCGCAGTGTGTTGCCCTCCTATGGCTGGGGGCATGCAATTGTAACTTGTGCAGGAAAGGAGTAGAGAAGGCTCGACCTTGGCAAAGGAGATTGAGGACGAGCTGATTGGTGGATGGGTTCTGCTTGGTAGCTACTGTGGGCATTCATGACGTTTCCAGCAAGCCGTTACCAGATTTCTCAATTGTGGTTACTGATTAATTGTCCTGTTGTGATTACATGTGATTACTACGCAGCCTCTTCCAACAAAGTTTGAAATAAAAAAGGGAACCGTTTTGCAGGATGGGCCCTCTCACGCTCTCAGAGCTGGAAGCAAGACCAATGACTAATTGCCAATGAGTCAAGAGACATCAAGAGACACTGGGTGCTCAATGCCTTAGTTCGGCTATCTATACTATGCCCGCAGACTTGACTTTCGTCATTGCATGCCCTTGCCAAAGGCCCCCCCCCCACATGATCGGAAGAGCATGTGTGTCGTTGATTAAAACTCAGGAGGCAATGACAGCGGCAAAGCCTGTGCCCAGCGAAGTGTTGCCCTCATAACATCTCCAAAGCATACGTGTGTTCCAGGATGTTTGCGGATATCAGCTTAGAAGATGTAGGACATTAATGGACATTAATGGACATTATAGATCATTAATTATAGAACATTATAAAACGCAAAGATCTTCAAGAGAAAGAGAGCCAGATTTTTGCTCCAGATTGTTTGGGTTTCCAGGTGATCGCCAAGCTACTAGAGCAGGCGATGAGAGAAGCAGGCGTGACACCGCAGCATGGCATCGTCACGATGGTAGTACCATGGTAGCAGCTGGCAGCAGCTTGCAGCAGCTGGTAGCATTTCAGGCCCCCACAGCTCCAGGCGCTTGGAAGGATGGCCCTGCTGCACGTTTTGTGGTGGATGGCTATCCTCGCTCGGAGGAGCAGCTAAGGCCGGCCCAGGGATGAACCGCCACTGATTTGAGCTGATTTCGGCACGCACATCCCCTAAATGTCCTCTGGAAACATTTGTAGTAACCAGAAATCCAGAGTTGCCACTTGAGCTTACTACTCTTTCAAGTTTGCATCATAGTTGTATCGCATCCGAAGGATCCCGAAGTCATCATGTTATGTAGTTTGTGCGTGAACCCTGAGCGTGCTGACAAGATCTGACAAGATAGTTGGGAGCATTGCGGATATAGCCGATATAGCAGTCACTGCAGGCTGCTACCTCAGATGTTTTTTGTGGCTTGTCTGATTTTCGATCAGATTTGGTTCTCGGAAAGCGGTTGTTGCCTCTGTTGGTATGCCACGGATTGGGAGACCGTTACGCCGTTTCGCCAGCGGCTCGGCGCCAGCGCAGGGGCTTTCAAGCCGAGCTCAGTAGCAAGGTGCAGTTGCTCTGCTGCATCAGCCTTGAGGCTGGGTGGAACCCCAAGTTGCATGAGGCCTCAACAAATCTCAACAACCTAAGCTATGAAAGTCTATGAAAGTCTATGAAATCCATGAGAGTAATGACAGATATGACAGTATCAGGACCAGGCATGTGATTTTTGCAGGACGTATATCCAGATTCTTCCAAGTGCTGCATGACCTTCAGCCCTCCCCATTTGGTGCTTCCTGCACCGCAGGTGGAGCGAGAAGAGATGCGACAGCGCCTCCTTGGTCGGGCAAAGAGCTCCGGTCGTGTGGATGATGAGGAGGAAGTCATTGAGAAGCGGCTTAATACGTTGCTTCGCTTCACCGGGGAGGGCAACTTGGGCAACGCAACAAACGAATGCAAATGACTGGAGTGGAGTTGAGTTACACATAGACAGAGGTTACACACAGTATATTATATTTATAAATATTATATTTATGAATATTATTATTATTATTATTATTGTGACTAATTTCATATATTTTGTGCTCTAGTGAGGAGTCATACTATGTGTCATCCTCATTGCTGAGACACCAAGGTTTCAAGCTGATACTGATCCACTTCTGGACTTTTTCAAAGCGGAGGGCCAGTTGCAGAAGGTCAATGGCAACAACTCCCCAGATGATGTCAGCGCCTCAGTAATGCTGAGTTTGAGGTGTTTGACATGAGCCCATTGTTCCACCAGTCAGTGCCATGCTCGTAGTATGTTTTAGTTCAATTTAGTTCATAGTCATGGTGAATTTCAAATTTCTCTGGGGACCTGGTTTTCCTACATGGTAATATTCCCGACTCAAGTCAGGGGGTTGAACCCAGTTCTGATTCGAGCAGCACCTCTGGGGGACCCTATACTGAAATGCTGTGGATTGGAATGACATCAGTGCAATGCATATTGTACTACATGATGTACTGTAACAAATCAATGGCCACTTCAGGAACCTTGAAGGATATATGGCTACCCATATATAAGGTCTATGTAATTAAGGGCAATGTAAGACCAGAAAAAATCCCCAAAATAAATACGGCTTTATATGGCATGGTTGCCAGCAACCAGAAAGACAGTTTTAGATTTAGATATTCTCGATCCCCACATCTCTTCCCTGTCCCCATGGCGGAATCGGCGAAACGTCTACTTGATCTACAACCAGTCCGAGAAGATGAGAGGAGATCCCCGGATCACAAGAAGTCCAAACAAGAAAAGAAAGAAGAGAAAAGACGAGAAAAAAAGGAAAAGAAGGCAGAGAAGAAAGCCGCGAAGAATGAAAGACGAGAGGAACAGGCAAAGCATTGGCGAGAACAAATTGCCAACACACCACATCGGCCATACACAGACCCCTCGGAGGAAACAATCACCCCCCCGAGACGAGACACCCTGAAGGCATACAGCAGTGCACGACCTTCAGCATCCCGCAGCAAGGAAGCAATGACAGCAGACACAGAAGAACGTATCAGCACAGCTGAAAAAGATATCAACCAACTCTTAGACGACACCGGCATTCTCTTCAGCGGCATGAAGCAGATGCAGAAGCAACAAAACTACCTGATGCAAAGAGACCAGAACCAAGCTAGAAAGGAAGCGAACCAACAAGCTATCATTACAGGCTGGCCAGTAGACGCACAAGAACAAGACCGAGATCGCATCGTAGACTGGTTGGTTGGTGCCGCCTCCATCCCTGCAAGGGAATTCCTCTACGCATCACACAAAGTTCAAGGTGAAGTCCTTTCCCGAATCTCCATCCTACACTTCAGGAGTGTATGGGCTACAAAGAAGTTCCTGGAAAGCGCCCGCAGAATCACATCAGACAGACACCCCTTGCCATACTGGCATTCCGACAACAGCATTCCAAGAGACAGTTCTGGCACTCCCTACTTCCTGAGGGTCAAGCAGCAAATCTCCACACCCGACCGAATCAGGAGCATCCCCATGAAGGCATTCCTACAATTGATCAATGACACCCCAAACTGCGAATACCATCAAGAAACAAGAAACCTTCACAAGAACTGGGCTGCCAACATCATTGCAACAGAGAACGGCAACTTGTTGAAGTGTGTCTTCAACGACGCGGATGGGACAGTGAAGCTTCTCATCCGGGAGGATCTATTCCCAATGGCCGAAGAAGGATTAGCAACTGCTTGGAAAAAAGTAACAACACGACACTCAGACGAAGACTTCACAACGCAAAAAGGAAAAGGAAAGGGAAAGGCAAAATCCTCCTCAAGCACAGCCCGAGGCGTCCAAGATTACCTCTACAAGGTGCATTTGGTAAGGGTCCGTCCGCTTGAGGACGATGAGGATCCATAGGGGCTTTGCGGCTGGCCAAGCATACCGTGGAAACACGGACTTCGAAACCAAAACGACACCAATTCTAGTTTTGCTCCAATGATACCGCAGCTCTGCGGACTTCGTCACCAAAAAGAGACTAGACAAAAAACAACCGAATCCCAATTTTTAAACGCTGGCGTCCTACCTTCCATAGGTGGGCTGGGTCAGCCGCGAATCTCCCACCGGAGTTTTCTGCGGAGACGAAATGGTCTCACAACACAGCACTCAAAACACAAACTCGAATTGCCAAGAGCGAGTCATAAAAGAGGCCTACGTTCAAGAGACGCTGTAAACAAACGAAAAACTAAACGAACAGAGAACCGCAGAGAGAACAGAATTTCATACCGCATTTATAAGAAGGCTGTGTTGCAAACCCGCTTTGGCAAGGCCAAGCCGGCGGGTTTTCACAATTTGGCTCAGGATACCCCTCAGCCATGCCTTGACGCACGGAACTTCTTCCTTACTGCTGCACATTCCAGGCTAGACGGTTTCCACAAATATCGTAATAAAGAAAAGACCTTAAGTAACCCCAAAAAACCTGATGACCCTAACTATCAGCAAGACTCTGCTGCCAGATGGACTATGAATTCTTACATTAAATTTGGTTCATTGAATTGCCGTGGTCTTGCGAGTGAACACAGCGTGACCAAAAAAGAAGTATTGGTTCACTCCATGAGGAAACTCGGCCTAGATATGCTTTTTCTTCAGGAAACTCACATAAATACAAATTCGACCGAAACGATTGAGGGCTTTTGTTTCATATACTCCACAAGCATAACGGATGCTCAAAGAAAACAAGCCGATAAAACCAGAGCAGAAAATACGGCTAGAGGCCGCCAAAGAAATGGAGTCCGACATGCACCCCCAATTGACATTGAACATGGAGGCACAGGTGTTATTCTTTCCCCAAAAGCAAAAGCTACACTCTTAGACTTTAAGCAAATTGATGGTCGAATCATGACCGTAACTTTGGATATGATTGGGCCGCCTCTCCACTTCCTAAATGCGTATGCGCCACAAAGCGGTACTGAGACCAGATTAAAGAATGATTTCTATGAAACGCTGGAACGTAATTTGGTCAGTTTCCCCAATAGTCATCCAACCTTCATCGTAGGAGACTTCAATGCAAGACTGCATGCCCGTTTTGAGAATGAAGCTTGTTGTATTGGACAGCACATTTTTGGACGTGGCTTGAACTTCTTGATCCACAATTCTAGCCCAGCTTCATTTGAGAACAGAAGCCTATTTGTAGAATTTTGTTTGGCACATGACCTCCACATTGGTAACACATTATTTCAAAAACCTGTGTCAAAGCAGGTGACCTTCAGAGAAGCTGGTGTGCTAGGTGGACCTCCCTGGTCCCCGGATAGATTTGCTCAGATTGATTTTGTTTTGGTTCCTGACAGGTGGAAAAACACTTTGGTTGACGTGTCCTCATCCCCTGAAATCTTCACTGAATCAGATCACTTCATTGTTTGTGCGAAATGCCGCGTCAGAAGGAAGCAGCTTAGTTCTACCGTGGTCAAAAAGATTACATATAGTCCCCCTACTCCACTGGAAAAAGCCAGTTATAACCAGTTCATTTCAGATACACTGCGCCAGGCAAGTGATGCGGAAGCCAAAACCTTCCTTGATTCTATCCGTAAAGCAGCACGTGTAAATTTGAGACCAACACCGCTCGGCAGACGACGTTCGTATATTTCTGAACATACATGGGACCTGATCTTGCAAAGGCAAAGAGAACATGACAATGGCAATCATGATATCTTATCTGAACTTACTAAGAAGATCAAAAAAGAGGCTAAGAAAGATAAAAAAAGACATATCCTCGAACAGTTGAAAGATACCTTACCATCTAGAGAGCAATGGGCTGGAATAAAAATCATCAAAAAGAAGCGGACACCCAATTTCACCAAAATGAAAGATAAAGATGGAAATAGAGTCGGCCCCCGCGGGCGTGCAGGAGCAGTTGCTGATTATTTACATGCTGTGCAGTGGAAAGCTGACATCCTACCGCCGTCAATTACTAAGAGATCAATCATCCAAAGTGACTTGCCCTATAATCTTGATCAAATAACTATGACAGAACTTGATGCAGCATTACGAAAAGCGAAGAACCACAAAGCTGCCGGCCCTGATGGCATTCAGGCTGAATTATTCAAATATTTGGATGTACAAAACAGAGCAGCTCTCCTTTCCGTATTGAATGGGTGGTGGTCCAAGGAAGCTATCCCATCAGATTTCTTAAATGCCCAAGTTGTTTCTATTTTTTAAAAAGGAGACACTGAAAACATTGCTAATTATAGACCCATCTCTCTGTTGAATGCTTTTTTTAAGATCTTTGCTGAAATCATTAGACAGAGGCTTTCTGACGTAATTGACCCATACATTTGTAATACCCAATTCGGGTTCAGAAAAAACCGTTCCACCACGGACGCGTTATTCATAGCCAGAAGGTTGCAAGATTTGGGAGAACGATCTGGGGACAATATCGTGATATGTATGTTAGACTGGAAGCAAGCCTTCGACCGGATCTCACACCCGCGGATGATGCAGGCCTTGGAGAGGTTGAACTTACCAAGAAAATTCAGAAATCTTATTGCAAGTTTTTACACGGACCTTTCCTTCCAAGTGAAACATGAAAATTTTCTATCGCATGCTAAATCTCAAGATGCCGGCATACGTCAGGGATGCCCACTCTCCCCATTTCTGTTTATACTCGTCATGACTGTTCTGTTTCACGACATTGGCGTAGAACACTACAGGGACCTTTCAGAATGTAGGCTTGACCAAATCAGTTTTAATGAAGTCCTGTACGCAGATGACACGCTCCTGATTTCCCGAAACACATTTGGCATGAACTTGTTGCTTCATGCCATAGAAGACGAATCAGCTTACTACGGACTAAAACTCAACCACGACAAATGTCACGTTTTGGCAATGAACGGTCACAACTGTATTCGCTTTAAAGATGGATCTCGCATGAAGCACGTGGAAGAAGCCGTTTACTTGGGCGGAATTTTGACCAAACATGTTAACATTGCGTCAGAAGTGTCCAACAGAATTGCATCAGCTATGGCGACTTGGAAGAGTTTGGATATTTTTTGGAAAGAAGCACAATGCAGTACCAGAAACAAAATTCTAATTTATAATGCAGTCATTCAATCAAAACTTCTCTATGCCTTGGAAACAATTGAGATTCCAGTAGCTCTCCTTTCACGATTAGAATCTTTTCAGTTGAAAGGTTTGCGAAAGATTCTAGGCATGACTACGACCTACATCAATCGTGCAAACACAAATGAGGAGGTTTTCAGAAGAGCAAACTTGCACATTGCAGCGAACCATCATGGAACCAAAATTGAACCAATTCAGGACATTTTGGCCCATCGTCGCATCGCACTTGCAGCGAAAGTTTTGAGACAAGACAATGACAGCCCTATGAGAATGGTCAGTTTCAAAAAAGATACCGCCGCACCTGTTGAGGTATTGTTTCGACGGGTCGGCAGACCCAGGAAACAATGGACGCAAAACACCTTGACTATGATATGGCGTAAAATTCGTAATGACCAAAGTGATTTCAACAATTCCAACGCACAACTTGCTCAAATACTGCAAGCAGCTATCAACAAAGAAATCTAGTAACATTTTCCTACCAGGCTGTATCCTGGACATCGTAACTAAGTCGAACTAATCTATAGTTCTACTTCAAGGAGTTCCTGTACTGAGGGGCAACGATGCTGCGGGGAGCCTACGGGTATGGCACCTGCCTTTCTAAGTTAGTTTCACATCCGTTTTTTCACAAACCATACCTATGGCACGCAAGAAGAAGAAGAAGATGGCATGGTACCTCCATTTTCGGACCCTGGCAATTCCCATTGAACAAAGGGCCTGCAAAGTCAGAAGCATTCCCTTCAAGAGGGTTTGTCGTTGTTTGTTCGTTGTTTGATTGATTTCAGAACTCAACTTTGGTTAGCCACTGTTGGCCTGAAGACTAGACATTCAAATTTTCGATGCAAATATCCAACAGTTCAGAGCGATCATGAAATTCTCATGAAAACTCAGCTTCTGAGGTCTTCCAGGAGGTTCGCAATTGTCTCCAGGAGCCCTGGGTGACCCCAACTTGGTCCACAACCTGGCAGAGAACATGGTTTGTTTGAAACATGAGCTGGAAACCGTTGGAACCCCTTCTGAACAGATCTGAACTGCTATGCTCACTAGGTCGCAAGTTGCCTTACTTATAGCTGTGTGCAGGCAGCAGAAGCTGATTGCTGACTAGTGAGCTGGCAAAAATGCTGTGAATCTCTGGTCGGTTTTCCTTTGGTTCGTGGCTGATCTGAGTTGTTGGTTGCAATTGCTGTTCACATGCATCCTGGTGCGCATGCTGTCCAAGAAGATAGGTCAAGATTGACCAAGACTAGTCGGGACGAAGCTGAAAAACAATGGCAACCAGCAGCTTACGAAGCTGGTGGTAGCGATATTTTCGAGTGGTCTGCTGGTAGACGAAAAAATGGCTCAAGGAGACTCAGCTGAAAGCAATTCTTCGGAGAAAGTCATGTGGCAAAAAAGAAAGAAGAACCACGTTTTGTGGTGTATGCAAAGCAAAGTGACTTTCATACCTTCCAACCCCCAAAGAAGTTGGGCAAATGGATCTTAGTGGTGTGTGGTCTGCTCTTGGGTTTGTTGCAGTCTAGATGTCATTGGTATCGACTTCGACTCACCCAGGGTCTTGTTCTTCGCAGGCGTTTCAGCCAAGCTTGGGACAACGTTGTAACAGAGACAGTCTGACACTGTGTCCAGGTCATCGTGAATCTCATTCATGTGGCTTCCAACAAGAGAGGTAAGGGAACAAATAACAACCTGGCTTTCGCGGCATTTACAGGTTACTTCATGTTACTTCATGTTGCTTCACTGGTTGAGGGAAAACATGGCCAAAGGACTAAATGAAGCTCATGCACTGAATGTGGCCCTCAGATCTTTGCTAGCACAAGCTTTCAGTAGCACCACAATTCGTTTCCTTCCTAGGAAGATCAAGGGGTCTGGCATGTACTGCGGCAGCCCCCCGAATCGGCCTGCCGTCAATGCCGTCAATGGCGGCCTGCGTTGGCCAGAGGTTCCTCAGGTGTCTCCACCGCGATTGTTTGTCGACAGGTTCGACGAATGGTTTGGTCCTCTAAACTGGCTGCCATATTGTAGGAGAATTTACAATTCAACCTGATGGTAAGCTATGAATTTGATGGCTGCCTTACCAATGGGATCAAAGGGGATCTAGATCCCTAACTGCCTTAACTACGAGTTGACTCCAGCTACTTTGCAAATGATATGACTCATTTTGCCGTTGTGTTGCTTTTCCCATGTTTTCCCCAGAAACAAAAACTGCACTTCAATGGGCCGAAATTGGGGTATTTCTTCTTGGATTTTCATGTCATTGAGCCAAGCATGAGGCCTTTGCTACCTCTCCTGCGGTTCCGGTGAGGCATGGGATCCAGCCAACAAGAATTGTCAATAAGACTTCGTAAGGGCGCAAGGGAAGGTCATTGTGTTCCCATGTGGATGAGCATTCCCTGGCTGTTATGTTTGAGCACCATCCAGTCAAACGGATAGTTGAGTTTTTTTTTGGCATTGTCAATGCAAAAACCGATTCGCCTTTTGCTCCTTGTTTGCACGGCAAAACAAATGGTCCTTTCAACAATCGTAACCTCCAACAAAAGACATTTTGTTGCATTGAGCTTTAAGACCGCCATTCCACAAGGAGAAAACTGCGAGGACGCATGGCTGCTTTGCCGCTACTCTACATCTATACCCTTTTTTTGCTGATGCATTTACAGTTGTCCCCGGGCCTTTGCCGAATCTTGCTGACGTTGTTTATTTACAACTTGTTCGATTTGTTCGCTATCTTGAAGCGTTGCTCATATGCAGGCCTCCAACCAATGGGCTGCATGGGCCAGCATCCATGGCCATGCCTGCGGCGCAACCTGCTCGGACTCTGTTCATCGGTGTTGGGAGCTGAGGAAGTGGCTCGTTGAATAGGGAACATATGGGAACATGATATACATGATGATCATGGGATGTGGGGGGGGCTATTTTCAGACTGCTTGCCTGAACAGCAAAAAGGATCTTTTTCGCGGAACTTCACAAGACACAGTCACACGCGCGGTGCTTCGGATCCTGTCGGCTCCAGAGAATCCGTTGGCCTATTATTGCGGAGATCGCCTCGCCATGAGTGGAGGAGCCGTGCACGGAGAAGCAGTTTACTTGTTGATTGGGCGAGGGAGTCGATTGAATGAGCTGCAGAGGCAGCGAACATCAAGATTTATGACATAGCCACAGCAATCCCGGAGCTATTCCCCACACATTCAGATACTTCCACACAATTGTATTCATTATTTGGTTAGTCTACCACTGGATGTGGGATGATGGAAAATGATGTCACAGGGAAAACGGCACCTGGCGAAAGGCTCCTCCGGTCAGAATTTCTGCTCGAGTAATGCTGGCTTCTCTGGAACACCCTTGTGGAGCCTTGGCAATTCGCAAGCCTTGTGGGTGATTGTTTCCCAGTGGAAATGATTGGAAAGGAGCTCAGGGCCCGGCCCGGCCAGGAATTTTGTGGAAGTGTTTCTCAGTTGACCTTTCACTTTTTTTTGGGGTAGTATATAGAGTACACACACACACATATGCATACATAATCATACATGTGTATGTAATTGATTGTAATTGTATGTATATTAGAGAAAAATGCACACACACACACACGCAAAGATATATATATATATAAGCTAGCATTGTGCTCCCCCGTCTTTTTCCCTGACCCGCCCAGATTAATATAACATAAATTCCACCAGCCTACACCCTCAAAGAAACATAACAGCCAAACAAATTTCATCTTATAAATATTTTTCATAAGATAAAATCTAACTTTCCTTCTTCTTCAAATTCTCCTGATGTTTCATTGTTGTTGTATGCCTTTTGTAATTCTTAAGTTGAATATCATAATCATCACATACAGGGCACTTCATCCATTTTATCTTTTCAAATTCCTCTTTGTCATCTTTACCAATATTTGAAAGGTGTTCCCTTGAACGAATATGCTTTGACCAACTGCCTTTTTGAATTTCAACTTTACAGTCATCACAATATACTTTTACCTGTTTATCCTCTTTTGTTTTTTCAGCATTTTCTTTTGCCCATTCTCTTCTTTTTTCAGGATTATTTTTTGAATAGAACCTGCAATACTCTAAACAAGTCTGACACTGTTTATATTCTCCAAAGGGCTTTACCTTTCTACATTTGGAACATTTTTTTGTATCCTCCATAATTCACCTAATATATATAGATACTTTCCCTTTAAATCCTTTTTCCCTATATTATTATAAAACCATTATCATAAATCATAACCAATAACCAATAAAACAAAAAAACTCAAACAACCTAATCAATACAAAGAATAATAAAATAGACTATACCATAAACCATAACAACATACCAATCCCATCTTGCCAGCCGGCAAAGGTGGGAAGCCCAGATGGTGGTGGTGGTCATCAACCTGCTCAATGAGCAGGTGCGCCCTGACCGGTGGTTAGGGGGATGGATTAGGGCAGTTCAACCAGAGTATAAGTGTGAATTTACCAAGCAATCTTCAGGCATTGACCCTTGAGCAGACAATTCAATCAGTTGGCAAGAGTTTGTATCCTTTTATTTTTGCTCAAAAGCAACTGTGGTTGCTACAATTTGTGGGACGGCTGTTCCTGTCCAATCCTTTGCTGTGGATGGCTTCACCAAAGCCATTTGGTGGTGGTGATGCTTTGACCGATGTGCCCAGTGATGTTATGGCACATCCCAGAAGAGGCTACACGGGCACAATGAAACAAGTTGCTCAATCACTTGGAGCAACCTATGTGGATTTCTCAGCATCAGATGCTCAGGGCAGTGGTGGTGGTGGAAATGATGGAGGAGATGAAGGTGATGACAAAAAGGGCACAGGTGCCGGTGGAGATGGTGGAGGAGATGACCCAGAGGAGCCATCAGAGAGTGAAAGTGAGAGCGACAATCAAGAGGAGGAGGAAGAAGAGGAGCAGGAGGAGGAAGACGACGAGACAAAGTCTGACACTTCAGGTGATGATGTCAAGCCAGAACCTGTCAAAGAAGAGACCAAGTCAGAGACCAAGCCAGAGACCAAGCAACCGCTATGAATATTCCTTAAAGGAATATGTGAAGAACCGGCTTGAATTTTTGGATGCGATGCTGTGAAAACATCAGCACCATCCATAGGCATATCATTGACCGGCATTTGGCATTGAAACTCACCAATTTCCAGCCCAGAAATTACCAATTTCCAGCCCAGAAATTACCAATTTCCAGCCCAGAAATTACCAATTTCCAGTGTAGAAACTACCATTTTACCAGCAGAATTGAGCATTTTTCGGTGTCATTTTCCAGCCCAGAAATTACCAATTTCCAGCCCAGAAATTACCAATTTTCCAGCCCAGAAATTACCAATTTCCAGCCCAGAAATTTCTAAATTTTGGCAATGAAATGAGGGGAGTTGGTGAGGACTTGCCATATTTGGTTTGCTGTGCGATTTGCCAAGCACTTTTTGGCAACAATCAGAGCGCGAAAAAAAATTGATATTGCTTCCAAACATCCTTGGTTGTGTGGAAACCTCACACCTCACAGTTTTTTTCACTTGCCATTCGGCCTTGTGGCAGGTTGATGACCAGCACATCAAGTTCAACAGTCTGGCACTGCTTGGCACTGGGTTGAAATGGGGTTAAAATATATAAATATATATTTTGTATGTATATTTATCTAATTAAAACATACAACATTTACAGCAGTCATAATTTCTTCAACTAATGCCTGAGGTATTCTATACAAATCCTTCTGTTTAAACAAGGTGTGATTTTCAGGCCAGTTTTCTTTCTTCCCACTGGGTGCTCTTTGTGCTGTTTCTTTATGCCTATTCCCATCCATACTCTCACAATCTTTTTTACATAAGGGTCTGGGTGTCCAATTCTCAAGATTAGTCCATAACCTCGTTCTTTTTCTGTATGGCATACCGTATTTACAGTAGTCAATGTCAAAGTATGACAACCCCTCCATAAATGATTGCTTCTTCAATAAGCCTGTCTGGGGATTTTCTATGAACCATACCCTCGGCTTGAAGTATTTGATTATCTCAAGAGTTTTCATTACTATTTCATTTGCTTCCTCAATTTTCCTCACCCCAGTTTGTTTAGCAATGCTATACTCAACACACGGGGGTGAAGCCCAAATCATATCCCAGTATTTCACTGGATATTTTTTGTATTTCCATTGTAGTATGTCGCAGTTTATATCAGCCCCTTTCAAATCTAATGACACAACAGTCCAGCCCATATCTTTACAAACAGT